AGATAATGATCGCATAGTTATACAATAGTAGTCCATACCCTAGGCTGAAACGGCTTTCCTACACCATCCTACGATCTGCTGAACATTCCTTTAGGTTCTATGGCAAATTTGCATTAAATTTCTATCCAGCTATCTATCTAAAGTTGATTCTAGCCTGGGTAATATTCCTACAAACATATTTTTACATTGAAGCATTTGCATCATTTAATGTATTAGTACAGTAAATTGTTCAGTTTATGGAATAGATATAGCATAGAAAGTATTTTGGAAACTCTTTAGTCTAATTCAAGCTTTATAATTGCTTTGAATTCACTTTACACAATTCATTTATGGGAAACATTTAGGTTTCTATATTAATTTGCAGAGCAAATATACAAACAGAATAAATATTATTATTCGCTAGAGAACGCTGGCCTACAAATCCATTTAGTTCATTACAATTTGAACAGCTATGCACTACACAACTATCCCTTAGCCTTTTACCTAACCACGAGAGAGAATGCCTCTCGCTCTTGCTCTATTTGCGCTATCGCTATCGCTATCTCTTTCGAATTCGTTTCTTTGGATTGTCCATTACCCGTGCAATGCAATGGGTATGCTTTGTTTTGTTGGGTTTGTTTGCTATTGTTAGTGATGCTAATGCATTAGGCAAAATACGAGTTTCAATTGGGATTCGATGAGAGGAAGCATGAGGTTGCTTGACGATGTGGAAGTGGATGATTTATTGCGCTACCAACCGCTACTGCTGCTCTACGTGCTACGTCCGATTTGCAACCAGGCGAGCAACAACTGCAAAGCCGGCTGTAGCAGCACTAGTTTTCAGATATCTGTATTGATATTGATGCGGGTCAGAAACTCGCCTTGCGAATCGGCCACAGCGCGTATTATCTCCAGCAACAGTTCGCGCGACAAACCGGCTATCTTTGGTAGCCTGGCCACCTTGGCAAAATCTTTCACAATTAATTTCAATGCATAATCCTTGATGTCATAGATTTTAGTTATATCGGACGCCTCCAGCGTTTGCAGCACATTCTCTGATGTTATATTATGCTCCAATGAGTATTTGCAGAACGCATGCAAGCGATTATTCGATAGGCCATAGAAACAGGGTGCCTGGAACAGATAGAGTGCATCCTGCGGCGGCATCTTTGTCTCTCCATAATATATATAGCGTAGCAGCGAGTGAAACGCCTCCAGTGAAGGTGAAATTTCGCCAATTTGTATCTGTTTGGGAAATAGAGTGATATAATTAATACACATTTTATAGATTCATACAATATAATGTAAAACTTACATTGACTGTATTATCCGGCGGCATGAATGAGCGGAACATGCCCTGGAAATAGGTGCAACGTGCTGATAGGACAGACTTATGGGCCGGTATCACCTGATCATCCAGTATGAGACTTATATCGCAGAAGTCCTTGCCCGTTGTCTCTAAGAACATGGACAAATCGTGCTCCAATGTGGTACCTAAATATATGTATACGCATCGATACGGATTAGTATATGGATTTCAACTAAAGTTACCCGGCCAAGTCCGAGCGAAATCATTTATTGTTTATTAAATTTTGTTCGTTTAGTGTTTCACCAATTTGTCACATAGAAACAGCAGTTTTTTTTTTATACAAAGCTTACAAACTTAGTTCAAGTCCGAGCCGTCAATAGGAACACTTGACCATTCACATCTCAATTCCATCCCATCCAGGAGGCACATTCATTGTTAAAAAGTTAGTTTAAATATACGTAGATAGGTTCAAAAGCAAAACAATAAACCCGGATCTAAAGGCAAACTTAAGGCGTATAAAGATCACTTTTGCGACAAATCAGGAATATATACCAAGATGTCGATATACACATACCATGTGCGAACACTCACCAATATTCGACTCAAAGCTGGTGTCCATCACCAGTTTGCTGGGATGCAGACGCTTGCGTATTATCTCGACCAGAAGCGGCTTGTCCAGATCGCTAAACTCACTGGACATGACCACATCGGTGAAGTTCTCGTCTTTGATGATGAACTGCATGCAATGATCCTTGATGATTTTAATGCTAAAGAAATTGAATGACGAAAGATGTCATTAATTATCGAACAACTGAGCAAGTCGCAATGCTGGAAACCCACTTGTTCTTTTCCGCATTGTAGAGGGCCTCGAGCACGTTCATCTTATTGATCTTAAAGTCCAGATATTGTATGCAACCCTGCGCCAGACGGGGCATTGTGAAAAGCCCAGCCAATTGATAGATGTCCGTGATGAGAATGATGATGTTCTTGTTGTAGGACTCCTTTAAGTCAATGCGATCCGTATATATGTAGTTGAGTATGATTTCGAATGCTTCGGGCGAGGCATGTGATAGTCGCACTTCCAGCATCGGTGTACGATCGGCGCCAACGCCCGTATTCAAAGCAAGCGCATCGACCTGGCCAACGCCATAGAGCTTTTCCATTTGATGCTGGAGCGCCTCACGCGCCGACAATATCTTGTTCCGCAAATACTTAGAGCGTGCTGCCACAAAGGCAATGTGGGCCAGGATGCGCGTCTCCTCGGCGCCCACCACAAACTGAATATCACAGAACTGTTTCTCGTGAAAGAATTTGCCAAAGTCATCGCGCAGCGTGCACTTTGGATAGCTGGAGAACTGAAAGCGATAGGTATCGCCGCGTCGCACGCTGTTGTCAACGGTGCCGCCAAAGATGTACATGGCATCGCTGATGACGGCCGAGGCATGGAAAACGCGTCCCGATGGCACATCCGAGTTCTGCTCCGGCTGTATGACGGACCATACCTGCGAGTCCAGATCGTAACAGTGCAAATCATTTGGGAGCATGGAGTCAGCCGAGCCGCCGAAAACATAGAGGAAACGATCATGATGCACCATGGTGTGGCCATAGCGACGCGATGGTGGCGCAGAAGTGGCACCACGCAGAACCGGTTCATTGGAGATGCGACGCCAAGTGCGCGACTTAAAGTGGAACTCAAACAGAGAATTGGTGATCTGCAAACCACTCTGGCCAGAGAACACATACATACAATCGCGAGCAACAGCAACGGGAAAATTACAGCAAGTGGGCGGACGATCACCTAGCTGTTCTACCTCCTCCCACTGATGATTCTCGCCCGTCAAATTTAAAGTCCACATATCATTCAATCGTGCATTGCCATCATAGCCAGCATAAATCCACATTTTGTTATCATAGACGGCGGCACCATGCGCTGAACGTGGCACTGGCTGCCTGCCGGAAAACTTCCATTCCACCCACATGGCGCTGAGAAACTTATACTCAAACAGATCATTCTTGTTGGTCAGATTCGAGTTGGAGTGAATGTCGCCTGTGTAGCCGCCAAAGATGAACATCGAGCTGCCCGCCACAACTGCCGAATGATGGTAGCGCGGAGCTGGTGGTGTGCCCGTTGCGCATGCACGTCCCCAGGACTTATCCTTCACACCGAACCTAATCAGATCGTTGAGCATGGTCTTGCCATTGTCACCGCCAAACACGAACATGGCATCCTTGTAGGCAACCACAGTGTGCTTGCTTCGTCTGGAAAAGGAAAATATATATGGTATTTAGTCAAGTTCCTCGATCTCTCCAAATGGGCTCTGCTACTTACTTGGCACCGACAAACTCCGCACACTCAAGCATGCGCGACCACTGATGCGTTGCCGTATAGGTGCTGAAGTCGACATTGAGCGCATTGCAGCTGTAGCTGCCTGGCGAGTTGACTTTGCCGTTGAAGCTGCTACAGCTGCCATTGCTGTTGGAATCGTAGGCGATGCTGCTGCACCCGGATGGTATAACAGCCGAGGTGGTGCTACTGCTGCTGCTGCTGCCGCCGGCACCGTTACCGCGGGTGCTGCGCATGGAGCTCGATGTGGACATTTTTAGATGGTTGCGTATATGTTGAGCGTCCAAGCAGCCAGCCGTTGATGCACTCTTCCGCGTCTTAGACCGCTTTCCTGATTTTGACTCGCGCCCTGTCAGGCCCTCAGCGCCAGAGGCAAGTGCCTGCTGTTGCTGCTGCTGCTGTTGCTGTGAACTGTTCGCCACGCATGCAGGACAATAGACGGTAGCTGGTGTGCTGCCACCACTTACACTGCCACTGCCACTGCCGCTACCGCTTCCGACTAAGCCACAAACCGCACTTAGACCACTCGATATTGAGCTGGAGCCGTGGCCGTAACTGGCTCGGCTTAGCGCTCCAGTACTGCGGCTGCTGCCACTGCCACTTCCTCCGCTACTGCCGCTGGCCACGACAACGCCAACGCCAACGCCAACGCCTCCGCTTGGTAGATCTTCCGCAGAACCATTCGAGTCTGCGCCAAGTATGGACTTAAGCATTAAAGCATTACAGGTGTAAAATCTCCTTCGTTGGCTTATCTTGATGAAAATTGCGTTGCAGGGCAGGGCCTTGCTCAACTCAGACGCTATTTGCGAGATCTCTTTTCACTACCTCTGCAGGTCAAGAACTAGCGATGGACCATTGAGACATTTCCAATACAAATATATTTTTCTTATGGATGAGCTGCATTCAGTTTTTGTTATCGATAGTATACATATATCGGCAGCTCATTCATAAAAAAATAGGCAATTCAAATACAGATAATGTAAAAAAAAGTGGTGGAAATTTCGTATGTTAGCTAAAAGAAAGAACTACGTTAACTGACAGCAATAATATCGCATAACTGTTGATTACTTTGTATGATTCTTATGATCAAATAAAATTCAAAATTAGTTTTATAATTAAGTTTACATATATTTAATCAGTACATGATGTTTACATACGAAATATGCTTTTATACCCGTATAATTAAAAGTTTACATTTATTTATTAATATTATGTTTTACATTTATTACATATAAACGAATATCAAAAAAATCTATTAAATTTAGCTAAATATTCAACAGAATTTGCCATTATGCCAAATAGAAATAATATGAAGAAAAACAGCTGATTGGCCGCTGCTTAATCGTGTACTCGCGATAGTTGCAATACCATGACAAGCGATACCATGAGCAACCCTGAAAGATTAGCAAATATCGCGGTAATAATAGAACAATAAAAGTAACAGGAAGGAAAGAGGAAAAGAAAAGGAATAAATAATAACAACAAGAGTAAAAATAAACAGTATATAGCCCTGCATCATCAGTGTAGTTGATAGCTACGCTGATAAAATGTCCACCGGCCCACGCACTACAATCCTACCCCAGTCAAAGGAAGCGTTACTTAAGTCGTATAATGCGCGTCTTAAAGAAGATGTGCGTAGCATGTTGGAAAACTTCGAAGGTAATAGTTAATACAGAAATGCTCTATATATAAATGTATATATATATACATATAGTATATATATATATATTTATATATATATGTATATATAGAGAATGAGTGAAAGTGAGTGACAAGTGGGGAGAGAGAGGGAGCGAGACATAGAGCCAGAAAGAAAGAGAGAGAAAGAGATAGATAGATTTAGGATTGGGAGGATGATTTATTTTGACGCTCAGAACGCACACGTTGAGGACGCTGCCGTATCATGCGGTAGAGAAGCTCCATGCCGTCGAGAACACCCTTTCCGCTAGATGCGCAGACGCCGTGTATTGCCCAGCGCTGGTGCAGCTCATGTAAACGCAATCGCCTAGCTAAATCGTCGGGTGCAATGGCATTTGGTAAGTCCTGCTTGTTGGCGAAGACAAGCACCACACTGTCTTTAAGCTCATTCACACGCAGCATGGAGTGCAGCTCCTTCATGGCCTCGGGAAAACGTTCAACATCGGCGGCATCCACCACGAATATAATGCCAGCCGCATTGTTGTAGTAATAGCGCCACATGGACCGTACACGCTTTTGGCCACCAATATCCCATACAGTTAGGCGAAGACGCTTGTATTGCAATAGCTCCACATTGAATCCAATGGTCGGTATATTGGTCAAACTGGCGCCCAGCTTCAGCTGATACAACGTTGTGGTCTTGCCAGCCGCATCCAAACCAATCATCAGGACACGCACATCCTCCTTGGCGGCGAACCGATCGAAGAGAAAATGCGAGATTGATGTGCCCATTATGGGTGCGACAGCAAATTTGAAGCTTGTATTTTTCAATCTCAGTGACAATATTCACACACACACACACGTTCGGGATTCAACTGATTTGGATTCTAATTCGGACTTTGGCACAAGACTGTCTTATTTCTTCTTCTTTCTCGATCAATAATTTGGCATTTGTTTATGCCATACGACACGCGAAGACAGTGTGTTTTCAGTTTCTCACTAAGTTCTGCAATAATAACCGAGTTGTTTATCCACTTGTTTACAGAAATCCTCAAGTTGGCACGGAGAGAGAGTCACATACAAATTTCAAAGATAACACAATGCGAACAGGATGCACTGGAGATGCAAGTGCGAGCGGCAAATATGGGTAAGTGTCTGCCGAGAATTCAAGCACGCGAAACAGCCCAGAGCCGACTGTTTGCTTTGGACAGCCGCCACAGCTTGAACAGTGCAATATACAATTTCAACGATTATATTGATTTAGCGGCGACGTTATGTTGAAGACTGATCGTGTTCTCTTAGAATAGCTGAATAGGCAACTTACGGCTAGCCATATGAATAATCCCACTTTGCAGATATTTCCTTTAAGGCGTTACACATTTGGAGCACTTTAATAGAAGCGTCTAACAGCTGTTTCTTTGTTTTGCAGTGCGGGCCGGTGAATCGCTGATGAAGCTCGTTGCCGATCTCAAACAGTATCTCATACTGAATGACTTTCATTCGGTGAATGAGGCAATTACGAACAACTCACAGCTGTTTCGGACCACACAAATTGAGTGCGATAAAAAGCTGATGAAGCTGCGCGATGAGATGGCCATGGATCTATACGATTTGGAGGAGGAGTACTACACTAGCATATTTAAGTAGATTTCAATTAACTATTCAATTGTACATGTAGGGTGTGTAATTTGTATGTGTATGTATATATAAGTCGATAGTATGATTATGGAATGAAAATGCGTACGATTATTGAATATTGTAAAACTAGTATTAAGGATTAACACTGTTAATGCTGGGACGATTCCGACAATCTTTCTGGACATCCTGATCACCATGCGACAAAGAGGACAACGATGCAGATGTATTTTCCACCGAGCAGAGATCATCGTTGACGTTATCCACAATGTCACCAGTATAGAAGAGTATCGCCTTGGGAACAATTTGAGTGCGGAGCAGATAGCCAACCTCGAAGTCAGCGCCAAGTACCATTTTGGTCTTTTCGTCGGCCAACGATAGATCCATCGCTTGCGGCGGCGAAAAGAATCGAAAGAAGGACTCACGTGGCATCACCTTTGGTATGTTCCGTGCACCTTTCCGGAGACGCTTCTGCCTCACCGTTTGCAGTGTCAAATTGGAGCCATCACGCCAGTGTATGTGACAGCCCTCGCAGCGGACTATCTCTGGACCCTCGAACATAAACGGATAATCCTTGTCGGCCTCGTGACGCAGTATATATTTCTTGGTCAACAGCAGCGATGATGTGTGCAGATATCCGTTTGGACGAAACTGAAATATAACTGTATAGCTATCCGGCTCGTAACTAATGCGCACATCTACCAGGCACTCAAGCAATGGCTCATCATGCTCCTGCACCAAATCCGAGATGAGGGCCACATTGCGAAAGACCGTCAGCCAGAAGCGTGGCACACCTATCGCATTCGCTGGTAAGTGATGCAGCTGCACCGTCATTTGCTTGAATTCTTCCGAGTTCTTAATCTGCTCAAGAAGATCGTCGGGCTCTTCGTGCCAATAGCGCTCAATTGCCGGCGGTTCGACATCACCGGCCACAATGTCGCGACGGCTATCGAAGAGCGTACAACTCTGTAAATAAAATCGCTTCTCCAGTTCATAGACCTCGCGGAAGAACTGCTCCGATATCTTGATTTGCTGCAATTGATTGTGCTTCAGGGCCAATACCCGATTGTATACCGACTTTGGCAGACTGTCCACCATATGCTGGAGGAAGGCTCGACGACTATTCGACGGCATCTCGGATGGACTCAGATGCATGCTGTCAGAGATTACACCTGGACTTCGACTTCGACTACGACTACGACTCCTACTATGATTGGTGGAGGGAACCATTGGCAATTTGTTCGGCTCCTTCACATTGACAATGGTCGACGTGGAGCTCACCTCTGAGTTGGTGCCAACGTTAAGCATCTTAAAACCTAATAATTTTGAATGGAAATTTTGAACGAAAATCGGACAAAAATTCTATTATATATATTTGATCTTACATATGATTTGAAAGCAATATGAAATATTTATCGAATAGGAACAAACTGAAATTCCTTTCAATTTACCGAGAATAACGAATACAATTTGAAATCATGCAAAAAGAAACACAACTCCATTGTTAATAATATTAGGATTATAAATTTAGTTTAAGAACAAATTCAATGCATTTTATAGAAAGAAATTTAGTATATCACTTCATATTATATTTAATATGCTATTTATTAATATTAACGTTTTTTTAAAATTGATTCAAATGTATCATGCTGCAAGATCGAGTGCACTCTAGGGCTTAAGAAAACAAAGCGCAGAAAATTGTATTGTTCATGCAAATAGTGGGAAGCATAACTAGCATTATTGATTGATGTACTAAATTATTATATACAAATATTATATAAGCAAAATGTGTCGCTGATTAGACAAAATATGCAATTCAATTAATTATCCATTGTTAATATGCTAAATAAAATATAAATGTTAGTAAATAACTAAGGGTAACTATGTCATAAAACAGAGATCAATAGATCAATGTAGTACTATATATATATATATATATATATATATATATATATATATATATATATATCAACTTGAAGGGTAATGGAAATTAAGGATAATATGAATTTGTGGAAAAGTGCGTAGCAAGCGGGCGTGGCATATCCTATAAACCATATATGTATTTACTATATTCTCAAATAACACGACGAGTTGAGCTGGTCAGGGTGTCTCCTAATCTGGCATATCCTTGGCTCAGTAAAAGGCTTCAGCAATCTACTTATGACCCAGGTCAGTGAGGATATCCATGAATGAAAATTGGAAAATTGGTATCTCCTGACCATGTAATTCTCATTAATAGCGCTTATCGTAGCATACGATTCCAGCCAGCTGGACTGGATCGTTGCTAATCCCAGGCATAACACTACTTTTTGATAACGCCTATCGTTGTCTTTGGAGCCATAAATCAGCAGACATATATAAAGTACGTAAGAGCTACTTTTTTATTTTCTCTTCGATTTTTTTCTTTCAATATTTATTGATAGAAAATCCGAAATAATTTCCTTATCATATCAATGACTGCTTACGGTTTTCGTCCGCTCAACTCAAGTGTTGTGCTCCAACTTATTTTTAAATATTTATAAAGCTCGTTAGTTTATGTCGCGGTTAAGAATATTACTGACTTTCTGATCTCGAATGCCTATTAATTGAAACTTATCGCCAATAATATTTGTTAAATGTGCGAGCATGGGTGGATATATTTTAATTTGTATTTTTGCAAGTGAAGGCGGAGGCTACAGATGAGAAATACAAATTTACTTTATATGGGAATTCATAACCAGGGAAAAATAAGGTTTTAATTCTCATGCAGATCTTTAAATTAAGTCTAAATTATTTGTTTGCTAGCTTGGAGATCGGAGTGAAAATAATTTTTTTTAAAATCCAACTTGGGTTCATTTCTCGTTGCCTTTGCTCCAGCTGTTAACTTAAAATCAATATATTTAGTTTTATTCACACAACATGATTGAAGAGTAATATTATTTTATCACAAGTCATTATTATATATATGTATATGTATAGAAGAGTTGGGGATTAGCTTAAAATATAAAATCTTCTTCGACTACTGGTTCCAAGCTGCTAAGGCTTCGCTCAAAGCTCTTGATGCGTTGATACCATTCGGGATCCTTGGCGGACACCGCATCTGGTCGTCCCATCTTGTGCCTGTAGAGATATTCAGCATGTCCCTGGCCGCCGATGCCATTGACGGTGCAGGCGACGAACTGATTGTAGACCTTGGACTCCCAGTCGCCGCCCACAAAGCGCACGGCACTGTTCTGCACACGTATTTGGACTAGATACGAACGCTCCGCGGTCTCCACAATGAAGTTTTGATGTTGTGGCGGCACGCCCTTCTCGCCGTAGGAATAGAGCTCAAAGTTGCTTGCCGTGATGGCCTGATAGACGCCCTCGGGCGAGCACACGTAGCCCACCTTGAGCGAGGATAGGAAGAAGGAGGGCTGACTTAGGTTGCCAACGACCATGCTGCTGCCATCATCGAGCAACAGAGCAAAGTACACATAGCGATTGATCGAGCTGAGGCAGCGCTCGGTGCCGAAACTGTGATCCCGTATGCCGCGCAGCTCCAGCTGCAGCTGTTGCTGGCCCAACACAATGCTGCCCTTCAGCTGGCCGTACTGCTCGTAGTGGGTGCGCTTCTCCACAATATGGCCGACGGACTTGAGCATGCCATAGAATCTCTCGTTCCAGGCCTCGCGCGCCACAGAGTCCGCAATGAGCGAAGAGCTGAGATCACGATTGTAATTGAAGTGGGCCGTGTGGCTCACGAACTGCATATCCAGCTGCACATCCACCAGCTCCTGCTCCGCTTCGCTGCGCAGCTGACCGAGGTATTTGACTCGCCATAGAGTCATCGCTTGCTCCGGATAGATGTGAAAGCCGGCACCACGAAATTCGGTGCTTTCCTCGCTGCCGTCACTGGTGAAGTGCACCATGTCTGGTAGTTTGGGCAGCATATAGAGCTGGCCGCTGGGTAGCCACAGGTAGAGCGCAGCTTTCAGTACGCCGCGCCTGCGCCGCTCCAGCGTGATCATCAGCTTCTCACCGGCTGCATTGGCAGCCATAAAGCTGACCACGTCGTAGCTCTTCGGGTCGTCCGTCAGCGGCTGGGGCCGATCAAGCGTGGCCAGATGCGATGCGGAGCTTAGCTCCTCCTCGTTACGCTTATAGATGCGATCGCGTAGCTTGCGCAGCACCAGCAACGCAATGTGATACTTCAGCTTATAAAAGATGCCCTTGCTGGGATACTTGTCAAAAATGAGCACTGACTTGCGACTCAGCAGCAGCAGGCCCAGGCAAAGCAGCACCATGAAAATTGCCAGAAATGGCAGCACCACAAGCAAGCCCAGGCTGAGGAAGGCTAGCGTTAAGCCAACACCGAGACAGATTATCAGGAGCATGTTGCTCGCTTTTGAATCGAGTTTCCGTTACTGACCGATTTCTGGCAGCGACCGTGCAATGCATTAAACGGTTGCCAACTATTTCAGTTTGATAAGCAGCTGGACTCGCAGCAAACCACTTGGTCAGGTCGCTTATCGTGGTGACTCTTATCAGTGCGTTTAGCTATGCAGCGGACCTTGGTTGAGACCGATCGATTGCTCAATTAATGTTACATTTGCTGTTGGTCATAAATCTGTTGGCAAATTTTGATATATAATTTATAATTGTTTATGATACAATTCGTTGTTGATTTCTCTTTACGCGCCCCCATTCAAAGCGATTGTGTATCACTTATCTTTCGTCTATGCATTCGTGTGCATGCCCATTTCACATCATTTAGCTTTTGTATGGATTTGTTTATGGAACTGCATATGAAGGCAGGGTAAATACATAAATCAAAGTATAAAATAAAATATGTATAAGTCTCAGCAGTATGAAAAAATAGCAAACGAATTTTAGATCACTCATGACTTTTTTAAATTAAATTCTATATGGAATTTAAGTATTTAGATTTACCGGCGCTTTGCATACTTTGTAGCTGAATGTATAAATTGCGTGTGAAAATCAAGCAGCTTTTGTCCGAGCTCATTCAATCATGTACCATAAGAGGTTCAATACTATGCCCGTTAACTAGGTATTTATTATTGAATATGCAGCGATAAAATATATTGGTATAGAATTAGATATATAAATTGAAAATATATCAATTTAAATTTCTTTCTCTATTCTTTTGCATCATGCTTTATGAATACAGGTGTGCATATGTATGTGTGTGTGCAAATGTCCTGTGTGAATGGCATATATTTATTGGCATGCACTTTACGCTTGCGTTGCCCAGCACTGGCCAGATGACTGCGCTGAAACCGTTATCTGCTTTGCCACACTGCGGCATTTGCAAATTGCGACTGCGCCAAAAAGTTTTGGATTTTCGAGCTGCTGCCTGCGCTCGTCTCTCAGCGATTGGCAAAACAACAACGCTCAATCAATAAAAACATAAAATTAGTGCGCAAGAAGCATGCATGCAGCAGCAGCAGGAGCAGGAGCAGCAACAACAACAACAATTGGCACAACAGCGTTTAGTGTGAAACACAATTGAGCACCAGGAAACAGAGCTCCAAAAAGAAAAAAGTGTCCTACAGTGTCCTTGTTTTCGCTTACAAACACAAATACACAAAAAAAAAAAGAAAGAAAAACGTAACAAAAGAAAGACGCGAAAGTAGAAAAAAAAAGAATAAATCAAAAATGTACAAAACAATACGGCACGGCGAGAACAGCTTGCAGTACACGATTCTACCGCAAAACGATGATTTCCGGATTGAGGGCAAGCTGAGCAACGCCAGCTGCCAGGCAGCGAACACATCCTCCGTAACGTGCATGTCCTCCTCCTCGAGCACGTCCAGTGGCGCCAAGCGCAGCGCGTCGGCGGTTGCTCCACGCAGACGTCGCACATTCTTTGCGTATTTAGGCCTGATCTTTGTCTGTACTGTGATCATTGGGGCCGTGCTCATACCGTTTCTGGTTTCCGCCGAGTGTCTGCCCAGTCCCACTGAATGGTTCCTCAAAACTAAGGCGGCCTTCACACACAGCGGCGACAGACAGCAGTTACATCCGGCGGCAGCAGCAGCAGCCACTGGAGGTGCCAGGATGGCAACAGCGCCAGCTCCAGCTCCACCGGTGGCTGCCATGCTGGGTCAGAATGTGGGCAAAACTGTGCAGATTGTGAATCGCAATGGCATTGAGCAGTTCATATTAAAGGTCAACAAGACTTTGCCATCTAGCAGCACTACAACTACAACTACTACAACAACAACAACAACAACAACAACATCAACAACCACAATTGCTCCAGCACCAGCAACAACAACAATTCAGAGCGTGCAAACAACTGATCCAGTGGTACCCCTAATCCCGGCCAGCACTGCACGCCCAGCCATGCCAAGGACAACCGTTGCCACTGCCGCTGCCGCCCCACCGCTTACCAATCGTCAGATGGCAGCCACCCTAACCACGCGCATCATACAAGTACCGCTGCTCAAGTCGGCAGCCAAGAAACCAATCATGCCGCCCGTGCTAGCCAAGACGCAGAGCACACAGGTCCAACAGCAGCAGCAACAACAACAACAACAGCAGCAGCAGCCGCCGCAGGAGCAACAGCAACAACAATCATCAAGCAACACGGATGTGGGTCAGAACAAGAGCAACAACATTTGGATGAATACACGTTGGGCTTACATAGATCCCTCCACCTATGTCCAGTGGTCGGTAAGTATTGGATCTCGCTCTAATTGTATGCCTATGGCTGTGTCCTTGTCTAGCTCTCTCTCTCTCTCTCTCTCACACACGCACACAAATAATCATTCTCTCTCTCTCTCTTTCGCATTTGTAGGGCTACAAGGCTGAGGATAGCGTGCTGCTGCCTGCTCTACTCGGATTTGCACTTATCGGAATGATTTTAATTATAACCGTTTGCCTGGTGGCACGCAACAAGCGCACAATTGTGTCCTCTGTGCGCAAGCGAAATCGTAACGTGAGTACAAAATGCATTTAATTGCCATGTGGGGGCCAGCGGCTTGCATAACCTTGCGCTAATTACAATCACCCAAAAACGTAACTGAAATGGGTTTCAGATTTCAAACGATTCAACAAAAGCCAACAGTAAACAGAGTTAGATTTTTCACCAATGAAATACATAATTATACGCAGATATGCACAATAAGATTTCTCCTCATAAAATAACTGAACATATAGCAAGCAGTTGATTCTTAAAAATATATAACATATGTATATATTTAGTTCTAATAAATTTCTTTCATATTTATAGCTTTATGTGCGCGTTCATTGCATTCAAATATTTTTTGAATGCCAACGGTTATATATAAGTTGTGCAATGTGCGCGTCTTAATGTTAATGGCAAAAATCAAAGAGCGCAATAGCTCTGTGATGCGCTCGGCTACTGCGCATGACGTGAACATTGTGCAAATCTGAGAGTGAAATGTGTATATTTGAAGCTACATCGACATCACAAGCTGACAATGTATGTGCATATACAGTGTTCGACCTTTTCTTTGCTATGTCCACTATCAGCAAGTGGTGCAGGGTTGCTAAGATGCGGATGACGCTTTTTATGTCTATCGATAAACTGAAAAGACAACAAATTCCACGTCATAGTCGGCTCGTACACGAAGTAGACGAACATCAAAACGGACATCGTGGCCAAACATCGTGACACTAACGATTGGGCGCCTCAACATAATATTGTGGCGCTCTGGGCGTGTGGAAGCGAGAGCGCTTAACTGTAACCGGCAAGACGAAGGCACAGTGCAGTGTGTGCGGAAGCGAGCAGGCAATAAACAACAACGTGAACAAGTGGTAGTGAACCAGCAGTGGCAACAGCAACAAAAACCAACAACAACACGACCATATACTATTGCCCGTTGGAGCCGAGAGTCGTTTGCGTGGCAGTTTTTTGTTGTTGTTGTTGTTGCTGTTGTTAGTGTCAGTGTTAGTGTTGTAGCTGTTGTCGCTACCGCTGGCAGTGTTTTGTTGTACTGCTACGGCTCTGGTGTATGTCTGCGCGCTGTTGTTGTTGCTCGGCTCTGTTTTGCCAGTAGGCCGCCTTGGCATTCACATAGTGATTGCGGTGAAACGTAGCAACACATTCATTCAGTCAGTCAGTTAGTCAGTCAGTCACTCACTCACAGGTGAGGCAGCAGCGAAACTAAAAGCCAGAGATAGGCAGGCAGTAGAGGCGGCTGGTCCAGAGGCACACTGGATACAAAAAAAAAAAAAAATACAAAAAAAATCGAATACAAAAAATACCGTTTGAAAAGAATAACAAATATAATAACAAGTGGAAGCAAAACTAATATACACAACTGAAATACGTCTACGTCAGCAAACTGTAACACAAATTCCAATCCTGTAAGCAACAACAACACTGAACTCGCTTGTCTAGTGAAAAGTAAAAAGTAAAAAAAAAGAAAAGAAATTTGCTTGCGTGTAGCGGCAGCCGCCTCTCTCTCTCTCTCTCTGTCTCTCTCTTGTGCATACATGTGTGTGGGTGAGTGTGTTTGATTGTGGCGCTCGCGTAAGTGTGTATATGTGTGTGTGTGCCAACAAGGCAAATTTGTATTGTTTGCATTAATTGTGCGTGCGTGTGTATATGTGTGTGTGCGCGCTGTTGTTGCATGGACCAATTGGCATTTGCATGCACATGGCCATAATTCCGTTGGCGTTGTCAGCTGCTGCTGCGACTGCTGACGTTGCAACAGCCACGAGCATACACAGAGCGTGTGACTGAATGAAAGGGCAAGAGAGAGATAGAGATACAGAGAGGCAGTCAGTTAATTGCATTCACTAATCCCATCAACTTGCAACATTGCAGAGCAACACGCCTGAGACGAAGTAACAACATTAATTATGGCCATCAAACCAGGATTGGGACGCAAGACGAGCAACAAGAATCCACCGATACTCAGCCATGAGTTCGTCATACAAAACCACGCGGACATCATCTCCTGTGTGGCAATGGTGTTTGTGGTTGGGCTAATGAACGAGTCGACGGCATCGTTTGCCAGTGCTTTCATCTCGCTGCATCACAACGTGAGCGGCGAGGAGGCAAGCAGGGAGCAGCCGTATGGCAAGCCGTATACATATGTGGCCGGCATCAAAGACTATTGTGCTATATTCTTCTACACGCTCACTTGCATCATCATGCACGCCATCATCCAGGAGTTTGTGCTGGACAAGATTAGCAAGAAGCTGCATCTGTCCAAATTCAAGCTGGCTCGCTTCAACGAATCCGGCCAACTGGTCGCATTCTATCTGCTCTCATTCATTTGGGGCACGCACGTGGCGCTGCGCGAAGGCTACCTCGGTCAGGTGGCTCTGCTCTGGGAGGGCTATCCAGCGCATCCGATGAGCTTTCTGCACAAGTTCTACTTCATCATCCAGCTGTCGTACTATCTGCATATGCTGCCCGAGCTCTACTTCCAGAAGGTGCGCTCCAAGGAGGAGCAACAGCCCAAGATCATACATTCCATTAGCGGCTTCACGCTCATCGTGCTGGCCTACACGCTCAGCTTCCAGCGCTTGGCTCTCGTTCTGCTCACCCTTCACTACTTCAGCGAGCTGCTCGCCCACATCTTCCAGCTGATCGGTGTCTTTGATCGCGACGAGCGTCTGGCCCGTGTGGGCATCGTGAACAACGTGTGCTTCGTCCTGGTGCGTTTTGCCACCTCCGTGATTGGTGTGCTCACACTCTACTATGGCATTTGCGTGTCCGGCGGCAGCTATAATCTGCGTGCGGTCATTGCGCTGATCGGCCTGATCGCCGTGCAGGGCTATCTGGTGTTCTCCTTCATCACCGAACAGCTGCGCGCCAAGCGGGAGGCGAAGCGTGAGGCCAAGCTGCTGGCGGCACAGACCAAGAAGGCGAAGGCGCCCAACAAGGACAAATCGAAGCGCAAGAAGGAGAGCGATCTGCCCGAGGCGGATCAGGTGTCCTCCAGTCCGGCCAAGCAGAAGCTCAAATGAAGCAGCTCAGCTGCAACTGCAGCAAGAGCCACAGCCACAATCAAATGCAACAAAATCTTCCGTGCACTTCCAGACGCTCAAGCAACAAACAAACACACAAACAAGCGAAATTACAAGCAAACAACAAATACAACAACAACTACAGCTGCAACTACAACTGCAACACGAACAGAACGGAACAGACTCTATTAGTGAACTCAATCACTTGATACACTAAGCAACACAACACATGAAACATTTATCTACTGTCGCATTTACAAATTTTTTCTCAGAGCGCAAAATTTTTTGTAAGCCCAAACGTTTTGTTTCATTATATAAGTTTTTTTTTTTTTTTATTACTATAATTACAAAATAATTTTAAATTCAAATAAACAAATTTTTTTATTTTTATACAAGAATGCTAAAAAAAAAAAAAAAAAAAAAAACAAATTTAAATCAAAATTTTATGAATCAAAACTGTGTTTTTTCGTCTCTCTAAATTTATGTATATGTATATATATATATGTGTGTGTGTGTTGTATGAGTGTGTGTGGGTGAAATACTAAAGCAATGCAGCATATAAAATATGTATGTGACATTGCCTGTATGTGTGTGTGTGTACACATACATACATAAATAATCTATATACGTATCTACATATGTATGTATGAGTGTGTGTGTGTGTGTAAATCGGAGTACTTTTAATGTTTAACATATTGATCGTGTGGTATTTTATACGTCCTATCGAATGTAACAAGAAAACGAAAAAAAGAAAGAAAAAAAAACAAATATATTTTGTATAAGAAAAACAAAGTGTAAATCTTATTGAAGCAGGGCTAGCCCAGAAATGGGGCATGGATATATGTATATATTTATATATATGAGACTTTGAGTCAATCTAAACTTAATGAAATCTTCATCAACTCTCTCTCTATCTCTCTCTCTCTCTCCTATCTCTTATGCAGGACATTGAGGAGCAGGGCGCCGAGGATAATGCCACACTGCTCACAACAACAAATCTTTCCGACGATGATTAATTTCCATGTATATACAAATAAAACAACAACAACAACAAAAAACATAAAATTTAGTCGTGCGTGTGCCCCACTTTTTTCGCTTTTTGATGTTTTATTATTAAATATTATTATTATTGTTATTTTGTTTAACTATTTATTTATTTCAGATATGTATTTACATATTTTTATGATATATATACACAAAAAGATATACAGGCCTATATAGATAAACAAAATTTTGATCAAAAAATTCAAAAAGGAAATGCTTGAAACAACTTAAGTAAATGATAAAAAATAAACAGCGTATTTTAATCAAATATAAATTTGACAAATAATCAAATATGTGCACAAAACTTTTGCTTTATATATAAATATTCGTAAATCTTTATATATATACATATATGTATATAGAAATATTTATTACTTTGAAGATCTTGAAACATATTTAAATGTATTTCGAATGCGTGCATATATTTGTTTACTTGTATTTGATAAATATATTATGTTAAGAACTTAACTTTTTCGAAAAAAAAGTAAAAAAAAATTAAATACTGTCCAAGCTAAGCTATGCCAAAAAAAAAAAAATAAAAATTAAAAATATAAAAAAAAATAGGGAAAAAAACAAAACGAAAAAAGCAAACGCATAATAAAATGAAAAGTTGAAAAAAAAAATAAATAAATAAATAAAAGAACAAAACTCAATGACACTCAAGCAATTTTCATTGTTATGTTTCTAAAGTAAACAAAAAAGAAATAAGAAATTGTAAAAAAAAAAAACCTAGAAGACTGTTTCTTGAAAACATATTAAGGATTCTTTGAATAAGCTGTTACCAAAAACATTTTCTTTTTTTGCTCTCCTTTGTTTAGCACTGAATTCCTTCCATTGTGAGCATAATTTCTTCGGTGTTCGTGGGTGTGCGTATGTGTGTGTATATGTGTAGCCACATGCATCACACACCCACAAACTTATACAAGATTTACGTATATGAATATACATAAGATAAGCATGTATGTGCGTATGATTTTTAGCACAAATATTAAGCTTAAACTGCATTTAACTGGATCGGAACACTTGGAGCATCCTTGACGATGGGCGATATTATGCAACGCACCCTTAACGCACTAATACTTATGTACTATGTATATGCAATCATTTAAGTCCAGTCCAGTCTAGAGAAACTCCAGTCTCTTGAGCACAAATTGAAAATGCAGCAAGAATATGAATCAAGTATTAAGTTTCTTCTCGGATCGGAGCGAAATAGAGTTAGATATTGAAGAGCTCATATATATATATACATATGCATATATATATGTATATATGTAGATCATAGTTCGATTGATAGGAATAGGAATGAAATGAAAAGTAATACTATGTACACTGTATACACTAAATATGTTTATGAATATGTATGTAACTGTATGTAACATGTATGTATGTACGTCGATCTATATAACTGTGTAAACCATTGAGAGTTGTAATTGTAATTTGAGATGATCTGTATTTTTGTAAGCATAATATATACATATATATATATATTTAACAAAAACTGCGAGCTGGGCGTGGCAAGGCGCACTTACAATTGATTTGCTCATTATATTATATACTATATAGTATATGCTATAACATAAGCAAATTTTGAACACAATGGCTTGCATTTACATATACACCAGCACGCATATATATACATGTATATGCATTATTGAATAAATCAAATCAAAAATTCCAAGCATGGATAGAATATATATACTATATATATATATATGGATATCCAACATATATCACTGTAATTGTTATAAATTATTTGCAAATGCTAAACAGTTAAGTCCATATATACCACAGAACAATGCGAACAACACATAGACACATAGACACATAAACACATACACACACACACACACACATATATATATATATATATATATATATATATATATATATATATATATATAAATACATACATAAATATATACAAAACGAAACACAAACACTATATTGAATGTTTTTGCTTGTTAAAGTGAATAATAATAAAGAGCAAACTAACTGCATATAATACATACATCAAACATTTCATTACAATATAATGTACATTTATTTATACAGTTATGCACCTGCGATGCTATCTCTCAGCTTAAATCTATTTGTTAATAACGTATATAGTTTATCACTTTCAAGGATTCTGCGCCTGCTGATCGCGCTGCTGTTTATCCCGTTTATTTTGCTGCGCCGTCAAATGACTCTGAACGAAACTTTGAAAGTTTTGTTCTTCTGCTTTGCTCTTGGCATCGGTTTCCAGCTCCTCATCGGCATCCATTTGCACCGGCACTAGGCTCGGTGCCATAAGATATACACTGTTCTCTGAGTTGGTCTTTGGATCCTGCAAGTATAGAGAAATTGCAATTAGCTACAGTTCCACATAGTCCATTGAAGGGCAACTGACACTTATATCGAGTCCCATGGGCACAGCTGTGCCGGCCTCATCAACGTTGTCGACTGGCTGCGGAGTCGTCTCCTGCTCGGCAATGCGCTGTAGGCGCATTTTCTCATACACCGGCTTGTAGTCGCGATTGTATTCGGTCACACAGTCAAGTATGTGCGTCATGAGGGTTGCAAAGCCGATGCCCGTCTTGGCCGAGACACCGCATGTGATCAGATTCTCGTAAAATGTGTCGAGCGTAAGCGACATGGTGCGTGTCAGATTGTTGACATAGCTGTGCTCCTCCTCCAATGCATCCTGGAACACCTCAAAGTCGGTCATCCACTCCTGCACAAAGCTACAATCCTTCAGGTCAATCTGTTCAATTAGAATATTAAGATTTTATAGCATCTCTTTTATCAGTGTGTTGGAAGTGTGTTCACCTTGTTGAGCGCAATCAGAAAGGGCAGTCGCGTCTTGTAGAGTATGGAGCACGCATACAACATGTTGGACATGAATGTGGTAGGGCAACTGGAACGCACAACATCCATGACATAGACAACGATCGTGGGAAACATGGTAGCTAGGCCTTCAGTGATGATGCTTCCAGATGCCGACCAGGTGAATACCTCAATTTGGCCAGGCGTATCGATGATGCACCATTTGTGGCCACGCTCGCCGGCGCGTCGCACCAGCTCCGCGAACTTGGGCATCTTGGTGGTGAACATGTTGAGCGCAGTGACAATTCCGCCGTTGGGGCCCAGCTGATACTGTTTCATTACTTCTCTGTAGTTGACCGTGTCACGTATGTCGATATGCGCCGCATAGGGAACCTCACGACAGGCGGGATCTAAGTTTACTACATACGGATTAAACTGTGCCTGAGCGTGCTCGATGAGGCTCCGCGTGAAAGTCGTTTTGCCTGAACCGGCCATGCCAAGCACGATGATGCACACAGGCGAATCCCGAATACCTTCGGCAATGCTCAGCCCCGCTAGGTTGATATTATTGATGTCGACGTTAGCATTGCTGCTGGTGCTCGAAGGTTTGGTGGTCATCCTTAATACAAATTGCCGCAAAACAAAGTTGCACGCTTCAGAACTTGACAATCACAGTGCAACGCATTCATCCAAACAGTGAGTGGCAGTGTTAGTCCAAACTATTTTCAACGGTCTGGTAGCTTGGCTTTCGAGATTCGCAACAGGTGGCGGTATGGTGCGTGCTCATGCACATGCCACTAAGGGATCTTTTGTTCAACAGTCGACCATCTCGGCCGAGCGCATGAAGCGAAATGATTTTGTGTTCCCATATTTTCGTAGCCCGACCCTAAAAGTGAGGAGCCGAGCAAATACGAAGTGGTCTGGGAACTAATACTCGTAAAAAAGTGTGCAAAACGCTTCACACTACTTGTCCGGTCTAAGTGTTCTGTGGTTAGTGCACAAGCGCACAATATTCACCGAACATTTTTCACATGGTATGGTACCGCCATCTATTGTAGATACTAAAATTTTATATAGATACTACGCCATCTATTGTAGATACTAAAATTTTATGTAGTATCTACAATAGATGGCGGTACCCAAAAATATTTTATTTATTAAAAGAATGATCCTTTGGAAGGTAGACAAATGTAAACCAAACTAAAATATTTTAATATTGTTTCAGCAAGTTTACTTAAAGGATTCCCGTTTGTTATTCACATTCGCACGATAGTTCATATATATATTTCAACTAGGTGGCAGCATTGGTTTGTAGTTTGGCGCGGCTATGGAAGCACGTCTGGAAATTAAGTTGGAGCAGCCGAATCCCCTGTTCACGCGATGGCTGGAGCGTTGGCTACACGAAGCGGAGCAACGCAACCGCAAATCGCAGCACAAGCTGCGACAGGCACTGCAAGCCCTGCGCAACTACCCGCTGCCGTTGTACAGTGGTCGCGAATGCGCCGTGCTGCGCGGCTTCGGCACAACGCTATGTCAGCTGATCGATGAAGAACTGCGTCAGCATAGGCTGCTGGCTAGCCAAGCCAAACTGAATATGAGTGCCACTGCGGCGTCCAGCAGCGCAGAGTATCAGGAGCAGGTGCAACAGGTGGTCAAAGTGGTGCAGAGGAAA